TATGAGTGGGGCTACATAAGCTACTTTTGCCATAGTTTCATCAAAAAGAATTCACATATAAACTAATAATGAAATCAGTGAACAGTTTTTTTTAATGAAGTTTGATTTTCTGACAAAAAGACAGCCAAAACTACATTCGTAAAGTTGTTAGGGAACCGCTCTCAGAGGCACATTAGGAAATTTGGACCATTACGGAGAATGATCTTTTACTTAAGCTTTTTAGGACGTCACTAGGAGGACTGAAACTCCCAGAGAATGCGTACAGGAAAAAAGACGATGTAATTTTCCCATTCATGCTGATGGCCGAGTCGAAAACAAGGACGTTCCGACTAAATACGAAGAAAATTTTAAATATCCAGGTATATCCTTAAAACCGAGCGCTGTTCTCGTTAACGGCGCGATCCAAAGGTTGACGCTCTATGTCTAGTTTGTACTGTTTAAAGTGATAAACATAGAGTTGTCCGATGGCTGAACAGAATGGGATGGAGCAACATTCTTAACACAATAAGTGTCACGCGCTTGCTCTTACACATCTGCTCACAGTGGAAATGTTTTCGTCATCTCTTTTTCTCGACTTTCGCATTATTGCAGACAACTGTTGAAAAACTGACTATTGACACCCGGAGAAAAAACAAACCGACCGTGGCAATTATCGAGAAATTGTGCTTCAGTGCCATCCATTTTCGCAAAAGTGACCCTGTTTGCCATACGAGTCAGCTGTTTGAATAGTTCGAAGCCCAACTATCCAAATTGCAGAGTCTGTGAGGAAGTTCCCTTATCTCGGGTGGGTGCATCGGTCGAGTAACTATCAACCAAACTTCGCCCCTTTTCATGGTGGGCAGCGTTTTATGAATATTTCAACTCGCTCGCCAACCGGCGCAGTAAGTCATAAAAGATACGAAGTGTTCACTCGAATGTCCTTAAGGGAGGTTGAAGTACGGGTTTTTATTCCATAGACTCCCAGCTCAGGTCACACATGTCAGGATTCTGACTTTTGTAGGAGTATTGTTTGGCCATTTGCAAAATAAATAAAATAAATGACACCTTGACTAGTGAATGCTGTTGTCTTTATATTTTGCCCTCTGTATAAGTGCCACCACATTTAACTTTAAGAGGTGAAATAAAATCCATTTTGGTGATTTTGTATAGATAACAAAATTCATATTAAGTGCAAGTTCGAAGAGAAGATATTTGTTAATTGTAAAAGATGTTTGTATTTTGCACACAATTGGAACTCTCAACTCAGTACTCGCATAAGGTTGGCTTTTTTCCTTTACTGACGTTTCTTTCTATGTGACATGTAGTCATTAATAAACGTTATAAACACTGGACTGCCTCATAATGATCTAGAGATAATTATTATGACTCCAGTGAATAGTCCAAGGCATTTAATTTGTAAAACTGGAACAGAAGTCCATTAGTAAGTTTGACATTAAGTAATGCAGGTGTAGTTATTTTTTTTACAAAAACCTAACTCGCTCAAAAATTAATTTTAGAAATATGTAATTTCCTACATGAGAAGGGATTTTAGTATTCATACTTCTTAAGACCTGTGATTAAATCTCGAGAGGCATTGAAAATCTGCGCAAGACTGTATACGACTTAAGTGACTAATTTGGACAACTACTAGCCTTCCTTTCTCCTAGTACATTAATTGTGGAAAATAAAAAGTCTGCTTCTTAAATGAAGGCATCTGCGCACAACCCAGCTGTCAACGAAAGTCAGTACATCCGCATTGGGGATTTATTTTTCATAATAAGCTTCAACAGCAGGAATTTAAAACTGAGTACTTCTCCCCTACGGTAGCAACCGCCACTTTCATTTCCGAAACCTAGTTTACTTAAAAGACAATTCTATTGGACGTAAGCCGCCCACAGGGTAAACGCCCTCACCTTTGAGATTGCTATTTATGACAAGACTGCCGAGCTGTACCAAGAAAAAAAATAAAACCAACTACAACTTATTATAAAGCAATGCTAGGTGCGCGTGGATTTAAAGAGGTTTTCAAAGACAGGGCAGATGGTCCTTAAAGGCTCCTTAGTTATCGCTTCATGAAGCATTTAATGATCCTCATTTCATTCATGGGACAGATAAGTAAAGCTAGACGCATTCTACACCCTGCCTGTCTAGAAATAAAGAGCACTTCGCATTCAAAATAGACGTAGGTATGTGCAATAAATTCAGTGCGTGTTAAATTACTTTAAATTTTTAAGTAAATAGAATAACGGAGCTCACCGAATTTTGTGTCGAAGACGGGATGACCCAGGTTGCTCTCCATGTAATAGGTTGACTAAAGGGGCATAAGTTTACGAAAGTCAGAAAAAACAAGCCAACCTCATTAAAATCGCCAACCCTGGGAATGTGATTTTTCCTGGACTTGCCGATAAATTTACCATTGTGGTCAATGACAACTTAGATGACCATAGAGAATAGAATGGATAGAATTTACCTGCAGTGTTCCAATTAATCTCACCATGCTCATGATCTCGCTCAAGTATCGGCGAGATTATCACCATACCGTACTTTTTCGCATACTAAAGAGCGTAAAGGTATGAAACTGAAATACGTACGGTTGAAAGCAGCTTGGTAGTGGGTCCGTTTTCAGCGCTCTCGGCAAACTCACACCAGGGGATGCGTTCACGGGTACAAAACGCAAATGGCATAGCTAAAAAGAGTCGGTGAGGTCACGTGAGCATTAGACTCTTCTTAAAAGTCAGACCAGAAAAAAGGGGGTAGACTGTGTAACTGTCAGAGACGGTGACGGAAACGCTTTTCGCGGCTGCGCGTAAGTAGCATAAACATCCTTACGACTAGACACAAGTTTTTTTTATCACTACAGACTACGGAAATAGGAAACGCATATAGATAGGGAGGGGGCAAACTAGTGATTTTCTTGATTTATTTGCGGATAACCCATATTGTGATTTTATGGTTCGCGACCGGCAGTTTTTATTATAAAAATACTTATGCGATTGCAGAAGCAAACCCCTTATCTGCGGTGAAGGTAAGAATCTGCATAATAATCCCGTCTCAGGGCATATATTTTCAGTCTGGGGGGGGGTTATTTTGCCGCAGCGGTAGTAAAAATGGTCAGTCAGAAGTAACTGGAGACTAACTAGGCGTCTGGCAAATGATAATATAAGGACATCCTCGTTCTATTGTATGCACAAATTAAGTTTATCGAATTAGGTTTCTTAACCTGGCAGTTCCTAATCAAATGGATTATATGTCTCAACCACAAGTGAAAACAGGACGGATATGGTAAAGTTGGATTTATTGGAAGGCTTAATCGTAAGATATTTCAGTCAATTGGAGATGCCGGCTTTTGAACGACCTTCCTTCTGATCGTCCACAAGAAGCATACACTCTACACAATGGTTGCTTATAAAGCGCACTTTCTTCTCCTTTATTTTCCATATCCTTATAAGTTACAATATATGTCATCGAAAAAAATCACCAGAATAGTCCCTCTTGTACTCCTCTGGTAGTAAATAATGCCCTTTTCCAAATTTTATACTTTAAGAAAAGGTGTAGGTCGGTTTTAAAAAAACATAATTGCACGATTTTCTGATACTCGTGAAATGTCTATTCATAATGCATCGTATCAATCAGTTCCTTAATGTTGCCCATGAATTGTGCAGTGTGACTGACGTGACCCAACTGTCCCAAGATTAGGCTGTACGATAATCACCATTCCAACGCTACTTAAGTAATTTGTTCGAATGGAAAACGCATTTTGCAATTTCGATTGTCGTTTCCTGAGATAGAGAATCTACTCTAATCTCCTCTCGTGGCACATCTTTTCAGGCTAGAGTAATTTTATCTTGTCGTAACAGTAGTAAAAATGAGTGCTCGGGAGGCAATACTGATTATCTAGGCGCCTAGCAAATTATCATTAAGGAACATCCATGTATTACTAGCTACACAAACTATATTTATCAAATTAGTCTCTTTGGCTAAAATTTCGCAAATTACTTAAACAAATTATGCGCTTCAACCGCGTTTTACAAGAGCAAGAAGCACATGTGGCTAAGTTTGATTTTTTGCAAGTCTATCTATATAAAAGCTTGAAGGGGGAAATCTGTGCTTAACTGTGGCACTAATCAATAAGATTCTGAATGAATTTCTCAACCATGGTGTGACTGCCATTGTCGTCTGACTAATCAAACTTCTGAACTGTACGCCGGACAAAAAGACCGGCGTTTAATTTTCAAGCCCACCATTATATACTACATCCTGGCGCACATTTACGTATAGTAGCCGACACGTGAAAGGGTCCTCAAACAGCAGTCAGTCCTGCAAGCCTGAGAACGGTAACAGTGACCGATCTCATGCGATGGTAGCCAAAATTTAAAAAATGCCTTTTAGAGTAAGAATGGTTCAGTAAGTGGAAGCGTGGTATTCATTATTGTGGAGCAAAATCCCAAGATACTTTAGGCAGACCAGGGTGCCGGCTTTTGTAAAAATGTATTTTTTGGTTTTCTAAACCCTTAAGCGACACAAAATGACAAATTTTGTAGTGTATATTTTTCTATAGACTTTCACTACCCTCAAAATGCAACTATATTTTAGACAAACAGTACTCACTGTACTCACTCTACAAAAAATCACGTCTTCTTTATAATGCTCACTCAAAGAAATGCTGACTATTGGTTTAAAAAAGTTGCTCATTGTGAACTTTCTGAAGAATGTACCATGTCTATAAAAATTGCACCGTATTTGTTCGTCTATTAATGCCACACATGAGGTACACGGTGGAGTTCACATCCATTGACAAAGTGAATGAGCAGTTTATGTAATATTCTTGTTGACAGACAGGAATGTATAGTATTCCTTTCACAGAAAGTATACTGTTTTGTGGACCGAAAATCCTAAGAGCAAATGCCACTGCGGACCAGGCTCAAAGTTATTCGCGAATCGGAAAACCTTTTAAAATGCTAAGCATACCTATACAGTGAGTACAAAATTTGATAAAGACGCGACTTATTATCAAATGAGTACAAGAAGGGATATTTTTCCTAGGTTTTCTATAAACTGTATTTGAATGCGTAGGGATATCGAAAATCTATTTAAAAATATTCACAATACGTAAGGAGTCAGTTCTTATCGTGTGGGATTTTTGCAGGAATCCGAAAAGATGTTCACCCAAAAGCTGGCTTTCTGGTGCTTTTGGTGTATCTTGACATTATGCTCAAAGATTACAAATATTACAAATCCACTTAAGCAACCATTCCTAATCCAAAACACATTTTGAATTTTTGTTAGCATTGCGTAAGGTCGGTCACTAGTTCTACCTATGTGATGAAGCTTTAGAAATTTGCGCTATTTTTCGTTTAATACTCGATAATCCTTGCAATGGAAAGTGAAGTTAGCTGCTTTCAAACGCTCCGCCTGGGGAGAAGGGGAGAGGACATATGCTGTTGAGCAAAGTCTCAGGGGACGAGCGGTTGACAGGGTTAGACAAGCCAACGAATG